TACCCCTTCTTTATTGTCATTAGTGCATAGCATACCTGAAAGTCTGAACTGTTAATGTCTTTATTTACATTTTTTATTGTCAAGCTCTCAGTGAGAGAAAGTACAGTAAGTTTTTTGTAACTCATTTTCCTCTATACCTTCAGAAACTAAAACATAACCTGACCCATATTGTTGGGTAAAAAAAAAAAAAAAAATTCCCTTTAAAACTCTCCCTTCCTTGGACTTCAATAATTCTGTTTTTTTTCTGGAATTTTTTCCTAATTCTATACATATTTTTATGACATTTTTTGGAAAATATAGTTTTAGCTTTTAAAATTACTTTTTAATATAAACAGCTAACAGAAAAGATACTCTGGCTGATTGTTATTTTTAAATGTTGGCTAAATAATACAAAAATGTGTCTAAATATTCTTTAAGGGCCTACTTGCTAAATTTGGGACAACTTAAAGATATTTTTATTCATGACAATCTGCATTTTCTTCATCTTATATGCAATCTTATTCTAAACTTAAATGATTTTGTCTGTTAACTTTGGAGACTGTAGACGTAAAATATAGAAATGCAATTCTGACAGAACTGTGCTTTACATTGGTTAAATTTCTGTTACAATTGTTTTAATTTTGTCATTTAGAGATATTTGTGTAATAAGTTAGATTATAAAACATTTTGCAAATATGTTAAATAATTTCTACATCCAAGATAAGTAACTACTCTGGCTTATCTTTGTTATATTTGGTATCAAAACATGGTCACTGTGCATTTAGCATATCATTGTAGCCAATATTTTTTTCAGCAAGAAAAAAAAGAATGATACAAGCCACTCCTTAATCTGATTGTTTAAATCAAAGACAATAAAATAGATTGTGTTTCTCATGCTTAATGCTGAATTCATTTGCACACTGCCTGATGTACCTTCTGATTAACTGGGAGTCCATTTTTTCGGATTAGTACTTGTGCTGTTCCAGATATTAAGTAGCATAAATAAATTTTAATTTAAATATTAATTATTCAAGTTAACAATTCTTTAATATTAAAATATTAAATATTTTATATAGCTCCCCACTTATGCTAATCTCTAATGGGTCTTGATTAGCTAGAATACTGTTTCAAGAAGAAGTTTGAAAAGACATGATTGACTAGTGACATATACCACAGTAGTGGGAGAAAGCAGCATTCATTTTTATGCTTCAATACATTGTGGTTTTCATAATAATGTCCATGATAATAAGCCCTTGAATGAACTTGAAAAAGAATTACTAATAAAATTCTAACAATCTGAATTTTGAATTCTTCATAAATACGGATATGCTCATGCTTTTTAGAAAGGACAGAGGTAAACATGGGAGATCATTTTGACTTTACAAGTAAAGCATAAGCATTTTAATTTGAAGAATGTTCAAGAGCTAGATTATATAAGATAGTAATTTCTAAAGTAAAGCTTTATCAAAACGAATGGTACTTCTAATAATATATTTTGTCAGTATGAGAAATGCTTGGATTTACCATTTCTAATTTTGAGTAGAAAATTACTGTTTTAGTTAAAGTAGGCTTTTCGAACATTCTGTACATTCAAAATCTCTCTTTAGAGAGGAACCAGGAGGATTCAGAGTGATTGATTTGGTTGAAAATGTCAAGTCTGAAAAATTGCAAAGCATTTATCATTTCATAAACATGAATGATTTTTGCTTCCTCATGGTGGAAGAGGAACATAGCACTGGATTGTCCCTCAGTGTGGAGCCCAGGCCATCCGCATGTGGATATCCCCAGAGAGTTATCTAACCTAGTTACTTTCAATGATCTATTTATTTTATTTATCTGACTACAAGAAACAATAATTCTATTCATTTCTGTCTTCTGTTGCTTCTGCTCAGGATATTTGTCCATTTTTTGTTTAGAACCATGGAACCACTGACATAATAGAATGTCCCTTTTTAATATTTTGATTTTTAGTCATTGCTAATTGCCTGCTTTATGATTCCTTCTAATCACATATTTTATCATTGGTAGAAGATAAATGTAGTTTAATGTTTAATGTTTGTTTTTAAATTGTTCAAATCTTCCTCTAAGCTGTTTCTCTGTGGCCCATGGCCCACCACTCTCTGTTGTCATCCTAATACTTTTTTTTAACAAAATACCAAATATTTGGTTTTCTGTCTGAATCGTTAGTGTTGTTTTAAGTTTTTTCTGTTCTTAGTTCAAAAATTAACACACAGAATTTAAGTAAAAATTAAAGTGGGGACTTTATTATATTTCTCTCTGGTAAAAAAGTTTAACATAAAATAGAATTAATTCCATTTTACTCTGCACCTTACAGTTTCTCTCCCCCATGTGTCAGAGAAGTCCACAGTGGAAAAACTGGTACACACGGAGTGAAACATTCAACAAGTACCTAGGTTTCTTCTCATTTGACATTTCCCAGATGGACTAGTCAGATGTTACTTGATCCTTAGTATTTGGACATAAATTAAACATAGTACTCCAATTAGTTGAGTAGACTAATTTCTAGTGTGACAGAATACATATAATAAGAGGTTCATTATTGCAACAAGAATGTGTAGAAAGAAATGGCTTGACATTTTATCATATCATTGTATATTGATTTGTATCTAAGAAAAATTCAATGTGCTTTCTTGCAGCTCTGATTTTCAGCTTGCTTGAAGGTAAATAAGAAAGACATTCAAAAAGGACCTGGTTCAGAGGCTTCCTTTAAAAGCAGTAGATACATTGTTATTATCATCTGTCAAACCATCAGAACATTGAGACTTCTGTAATTACTGAGTTTTAATGCACAGCCTCAAAATGCATAAGCCAATAAATTGATGTAATAATGCCTGTGTTGAGGATATTTTTGTGAAATAAAAGCCGCTCTCACATGTTAAAATGCTTTAATCTATCGATATGTACTATTTATAGAAGATGAGTTGAAGGGTACTTTAATTGAAATTTCCATTGTTAATGCAAGTTATTCCTATTTTTCAACAATGTAAATATCATTTACAGAATTGATATCTTTGTAGCTACCATATCTTTCTGGTATGTACACACAAAAACGTCACAG